TGAACTCCTGACCTCAGATGATCCACCCACCTCAGCCTCTTAAAGTGCTGGGATTATAGGCATGAGCCACTGGGTCTGGCCAATATCAGTTAAATGAGTAGCTGCTGAGTACACTGTACTGTACTTTGCTGCTTTCACTTATCCCTAAGTGAAATCAATTAATATTGTGTGTGCACCTACATACGTACCTGCATGCTGTGTATGCACAGGGTTCATTCTTTTTTATGGTTGCATAGCATCTCTTTGAATTGATATTTTGTTATTTGTTTAGCCAGTCCCCCATTGATGGAAATTTAGGTTGTTTCTAGTATTTTGCTATTTCAAACAATACTCACATACATGCCATTTCACATTCAAATATTTCTTTTTTAGACAAATTAAATTAATTATTTTTATTTTATCTTTTTTTTTTTGAGACACAGTCTCACTCTGTTGCCCAGGCTGGAGTTCAGTGGCACTATCTTGGCTCACTGCAACCACCTCCTGGGTTCAAGCGATTCTCCCACCTCAACCTCCCAAGAAGCTGGGATTACAGTCATGCGCCACCATGCCCAGCTAATTTTTGTATTTTTAGTAGAGCTGGGGTTTCACCATGTTAGCCAGGATGGTCTCCATCTCTTGACCCCGTGATTCGCCTGCCTTGGCCTCCCAAAGTGCTGGGATTACAGGCGTGAGCCACCGCTCCTGGCCTCTATAAATTTTCTTGAATATATCTTTTTTTTTTTTTTTTTTTGAGGTGGAGTCTCACTCTGTCGGCCCAGGCTGGAATGTAGTGGCACGATCTCGGCTCACTGCAACCTCCACCTCCCAGGATCAAGCAATTCTCCTGCCTCAGCCTCTAGAGTAGCTGGGATTACAGGTGTGTGCCACCGTGCCCCACTAATTTTTTATATTTTTGGTAGAGAGTTTCACCATGTTGGCGAGGATGGTCTCAAACCCCTGACCTCAAGTGATCCACCTCCTTTTTTTTTTCAAACTTGGTCTTGCTCTGTCACCCAGACTGGAGTGCAGTGGTGCAACTGTAGAGCTCACTGTAGCCTCTATTTCACGGGCTCAAGGGATCTTCCTGTCCCAGCCTCTTAACTAGCTGGGACTACAGCGGCAATCTACGAGGCCCGGCCAATTTCTTTTACTTTTAGTAAAGACTAGATTTCAGTATGCTCCCCAGGCTGGTCTCAAACTTCTGAGCTCAAAGGATTCTCCTACAGCAGCCTCACAGAGTGTTGGGATTAAGGCATGAGCCACTGAGCCTGGTCTTGTCTATATCCTTTCGTGTACATATGTAAATTTTTCTATTGGTTGTGTATCTGGGAGTGGAATAGCTGGATCATAGTTTGCCTGTGTTCAGTTTTCATAGATACCAAAATAGTTTTCTAGAGACTGATTTGAGTAACAAATAATAAGGCTCTGGTCTCCCACAACAACAACAACAACAAATTTCTTTTTTTTTTTTCCCCTTGAGACGGTGTCACTCTTGTTGCCCAGCCTGGAGTACAATGGTGCGATCTTGGCTCACTGCAACCTCTGCCTCCCAGGTTCAGGCAATTATCTTGCTTCAGCCTCCCGAGTAGCTGGGATTACAGGCATGTGTCACCAGGTACGGCTAATTTTTGCATTTTTAGTAGAGACAGGGTTTCACCATGTCGGTCAGGCTGGTCTTGAACTCCCAACCTTAGGTGATCCACCCACCTCAGCCTCCCAAAGTGCTGAGATTACAGGAGTGAGCCACTGCGCCTGGCCAGTAAATAGTTTTTGTAGAAACAGGGTTTTACTATGTTGCCTGGGTTGGTCTTGAATTCCTGGCCTCAAGTGATCTTACCTCCTCGGTCTCCCAAGGCACTGGGATTACAGGCATGAACCACCACACCTGGCCCAATAAAAGCTCACCTACTCTACATTTCTCATAATGATCATTGCCCCTATACCAGTCCAATGCCACAGACACCCCGTTTACCTGCCCAATTTCAGTCTCCACCTACAGCTCACCCCCAACTAACTCCAGGTGAAAACCTTAATAATTTTGATGCCACTTCATACTAAGGGTTATCACGAACCCTTACCAGTAGTAACAGCGTCCCTATCACCATCATGAGGGATTGTTTCCACATGAAATCAGTGGGACCCTAGCCAGAGTTGGTCTCTGCAGAGAAGTGAGGATAGGTCAAAAGCCCTGGAAGAATGTGAGGCCAAGAGGCTCTGATGTGTCATTAAGAGATGTTTGTGACATTTTGGGCTGGATGTTTAAGAAAAAAAAGAGAGAGCGAGAGAGATGTTTGATCTAGGCTGGGAGCAGTGGCTCATGCCTGTAATCCCAGCACTTTGGGAGGTGGGGGCAGATCACCTGAGGTCAGGAGTTCGAGACCAGCCTGGCCAACATGGTGAAACACTGTCTCTACTAAAAACACAAAAATTAGCTAGGTGTGGTGGTACATGCCTGTAATCATAGCTACTTGAGAGACTAAGGCAGGAGAATTGCTTGAACCCGGGAGGTGGAGGTTGCAGTGAGCTGAGATCACACCACTGCACTCCAGCCTGGGTGACAGAGACTGTCTCAAAAATAAAATAAAGAGAGAGGAAAGAGAGACATCTGATCTAAAGGCATATTATAGATTTTCTTTGCAAACTGGGCTTACTCCGTTTGCATTTATCGATGTGATGTGATGGATAGGTTTGGTCTTCATTCTGCCATCATGTCATGCTTTCTCTCTTGAGCAATTCCTTTGTTTTTCTTTCACCCTGTGGTGTGTCTGTGATCTCTTCAGGCTCTTTCACTGGCTTGGTGGCAATTTGGCATGCTATTTCTTCTGGAACCACCAGACTTTGTCAGGACGAGAGTGTCAGATATGCTAAGATGTGATCTGATGCATAAAATCTAAGACTCCACACACAAATGCACTCTGTTTGTTTCACTGCTGCACATTTGTGCCCTACACAGGAATTCTGCTACATTCCATTTTGTCCGATGCCCAAGAAAGACAGGGAGAAAATGGTTGGTTTGTTTATAATTACAAGCACAGCTCTAGGGAAGACACTCCTGAGAGAACTTTGATTTTGACTATGGTTAAGGAGACCCTTCTGCTTATAATTTCATCTGTCTGATAACTGGAAGGACTTTCTTTGGTTTGTTTGTTTATTTATTTTGAGATGGAGTCTCGCTCTGTCACCCAAGCTGCAGTGTAGTGGCACAGTCTCGGCTCACTGCAACCTCTGCCTCCCAGGTTCAAGAGATTCTTCTGCTTCAGCCTCCCAAGTAGCTGGGATTACAGGTGCACACCACCACACCTGGATAATTTTTGTATTTTTGGTAGAGACAGGGTTTCACCATGCTGGCCAAGTTGGTCTTGAACTCCCAATCTCAAGTGATCTGCCCACCACAGCCTCTCAAAGTGTGGGATTACGGGCATGAGCCACTGCGCCCAGCCCAAAGAATTAACTCCATGCCAGCTTCTGGCACTTTGCTTCACATCTTGTTCCTTCTCCAGCACCACCAGTCTCAGTGCCTGGCACTGGAGGGCACATTTCTACTGTGATGTGACCTCCAGCCCTGATCCTTCCTTTCACCCAGTTTGTACTCTACACCAGAAGAGTTAGCACAGAAGGAGGTGGGGTATCTCTACCCCAGGATGGCCAGCATTACCTTAGTTATAAGTGGAGAAGCCGACAGACCTCATAAATGCATTCCACTAAACCCAAACTAAATGTATTCCATGTCAGTTTCCTCTCACTCATATCCACTCTACCATCACTTGACATGAGACAGAGGAGAATTCTGGGCCAAAAAGTGGTCTCTGGTTGAAGCAAAATTGCCTTGCCTACAGAAAAACATGTATTTTTTTGAGATGGGGTCTTGCTCTGTTGCCCAGGCTGGAGTGCAGTGGTGCAATCTCAGCTCACTGCAACCTCTGCCTCCTGCGTTCAAGCAATTTTCCTCCCTCAGTCTTCCGAGTAGCTGGAACTACAGGCGTGCGCCACCATGCCCGGCTAATTTGTATTTTTAGTAGAGGTGGGGTTTTACCATGTTAGCCAGGATGGTCTGGATCTCCTGACCCCGTGATCCGCCCACCAAGGCCGTCCAAAGTGCTGGGATACAGACGTGAGCCACCATGCCTGGCCACCTATGAAAATTTTACAGAAGCGGATGCCTGTGTGAACACGTGAGAGCCTTCCAACATCGGCCTCAATAGGGGTTCATGGAAGTGAGAGGCCCAAAACTTAGGCTTCTCTAGCTGTATAACAATTAAAAAATAAGAGGGCCAGGCGCCCTGGATCACCCCCAAAGGGTACGCCTGGCCTTCCTGAATGGGCCCATCTGTCCTGAGCCTGGCATGAAGAAGCCCAACAAAAGAACAAAGATTCCCCAACAATCCCAGAGAAAAGAATCTCCTGTGCCAGGCTGGGAAAATGCACCTGCGGACTATAACATACTCAGGCAAAGGGCACTTTGGGCCCGGGAGGATTTCCGGAGCTACAGGGAAGGAGGGGGGGCGATGCTACATTGTAGAAAGGGGGTGAGCTCGTTAAACTTTACAACCCCTCTGATAGGGACCCATTCACAGAGGAAGAAGCGGGGCTCAGAGAGGGTGAGGGGTTTGCCCTAGCTCACACAGCTGGGACTCAAACTTAGGCGTCCTTGATCTGACACCCAGGCCCCAGCTCCCTCGTCACGGATCCCTGGGATGCAGTAGAGCGCGGGCGGGCGGAACGGACGGCTTCTGAGCTGACCACCCAATCCTCCTAACGGCTGTTCTCCGTGGCTGCTTCCCGAAACCCATTCTTCCCGGGCGGATCCTACAGAGGAGCTTCTCTCCTAGGATCCCGGGGCCTCAGTTTCCCTCTCGTGCGTGTGCTAGGGCAGGGATCTTCCTCTAGGAACAAGGAACAGAGAGAGACTGGTGAGACGCCTGGCCTTGCTGCCCCTTCGTGCTCAGCACCCCCCAAGGTCCTCCGGAAGCCCCGCCCCCGCCGCGCGGCCTGGCGGCCAGGAATGGGTTTCGGCCCCTTTAAATCCCGCCCGGGAACGCCCGGGGCCCGGCCGCGTCCTTCCCGGATCCACCGGCTGGAGATTGCGTTCCCTGCGCGTCCCGCAACCTTTCCCGCGCCGGCTGTGTGGCGGGTGCCCGGGTGGTCGCGAGAATGAGCCGCATCTACCAGGACGGCGCGCTCCGGAACAAGGCGGTGCAGAGCGCGCGGCTGCCGGGGGCCTGGGACCCAGCCGCCTACCACGGGTAGGCCTGGTCGCGCGGCTCGGGTCGGCTTCCCCCGCCCGGGCTCGAACCCGCGCTAGATTAGGGGGGCGGGATGTGGGTGGAGGAAAACGGGGGTCCCCGGGGTTGCCTCTCCGCCTCCAGCCCGCTCTTCCTGCGCCTCTCCCGGCGCCCGCCCTGCGACCCGAGGACACAGATCGGCTTAAGCTTCCCGCCTGTCGCCTGCCCTCAGGAGAGGGTCCGACCCCCACAGGGGACTCCCGAGGCTGTGCGCCGCTTCACGCCGACCTGCGGCCCCACCCACCCCATAACTAGAAACTTCAGCTGCCTCTGCACAGGCTCATGCCTTCCCCAGAAGAGCAGTTGGCGGGGACAGCGGGCGGGCTGGTGGAGAGCAGGGCCTGCCTGGGTGAGGAAGATTTGGAGAGCCAGGCCCTGCCGTCACAGGGTTAAGAGGCCGAACGGACCATTCCATTTACACCTGCACTAAAGAATTGTGCTAAGTGAAATAAGCCAGACAAATGCTGTGTGATCTCCTATGTGGAATCTGAAAGGGTTGAACCATAGAAACAGCAGAACAGGGCTGGGCGCGGCGGCTCAAGCCTGTAATCCCAGCACTTTGGGAGGCCGAGGTGGGTAGATCACGAGGTCAAGAGATCGAGACCATCCTGGTCAACATGGTGAAACCTCGTCTCTACTAAAAATACAAAAAATTAGCTGGGCATAGTGGCACGTGCCTGTAATCCCAGCTACTCAGGAGGCTGAGGCAGGAGAATTGCCTGAACCCAGGAGGCGGAGGTTGCGGTGAGCTGAGATGGCGCCATTGCACTCCAGCCTGGGTAAGAAGAGCGAAATTCCGTCTCAAAAAAGAAAAAAAGAAACAGCAGAACAGGCCAGGAGGTGGCTCACGCCCATCATCCCAGCACTTTGGGAGGCTGAGGCAGGTGGATCACTTGAGGTCAGGAGTTTGAAATAAGCCTGGCCCATGGGGAGACAAACAGCTGCCTTGCTTGGCTCCTCTGATGAGGACATAAGGTCATGTATGTGAAGGTGTTTTGGAAGCTGTTAAGTGCTTACTAATATCAAATATTTTACTTATTTCATTTGTTTGTTTTTTGAGACAGGGTTTCACTATGTTGGCCAGGCTGGTCTGGAATTCTTGACCTTGTGATCTGCCCGCCTCAGCCTCCCAAAGTGCTGTGATTACAGGCGTGAGCCACCACACCCAGCTGATTTTACTTTTTTATTAGGCCACATGTGCAGGGAGGTATCTAAGCCGAAATACATTATTTGCCACTTGTTTTTAAACATTCTCATATTCCTGTTCTCATTCATAGCCATGTGATCATTAACGGGAGGAGATGGTTAATGGTGAAATGGTTATTGGTGAAACCTCGTCTTGACTAAAAATACAAAAATTAGCAGGGGGTGGTGGCGGGCACCTGTAATCCCAGCTATTTGGGAGGCTGAAGCACAAGAACTGCATGAAGCTGGGAGGTGGAGGTTGCAGTGAGCCGAGATCATGCCATTGTACTCCAGCCTGGGTAACTGAGATTCTGTCAAAAGAAAAGTAGAGCAGTGAACAGTGATTGCCAGGGAATAGTGGATGGGGGTGTGGGTGGGGAAATGATCAAAGGCACAAACTTTCAGTTATAGAATAAATAATTTCTGGGGATCTAATGTACAGCATGGGGTCTGGCAGGTGTTCATTAATTTGTGGTAACCATTACATAGTATGTACTTAAATCATCACCTTCTGCACCCTGAATACATACAGTCTTGATTTGTCAGTTAAATATGTAGAAAAGGGCCGGGTGCGGTGGCTCACGCCTATAATCCCAGCACTTTGGGAGGCCAAGGTGGGTGGATCACGAGGTCAAGAGATCGAGACCATCCTGGTCAACGAGGTGAAACCCCGTCTCTACTAAAAATAGAAAAATTAGCTGGGTATGGTGGTGCACGCCTGTAGTCCCAGCTACTCAAGAGGCTGAGGCAGGAGAATTGCTTGAACCCAGAAGGCGGAGGTTGCAGTGAGCCGAGATGGTGCCATTGCACTCCAGTCTGGGTAACAAAAGCAAAACTCCATCTCAAAAAAAAAATGTAGAAAAATAATTGCCAGTGGTGGGGATGTGTTGGATAGAGACAGGTTCCGTGGAGTTTTCCCTTCCCCTTTCATCCCTCTTTCACTGTCATCTCCAGCTGTCCCCACCCTTCTCCCATTTCTGTGGATGCAAAAGAGGAAGGATTCAGGTTCTGCCTTTATGAAAGCCAGCGTCAGGAAGCCAGGGGTCCGCCTCCCCTCGGTGAGGACAGTGTGATCTTGAGCTAGTCCCACACTTCTGAGTTTTGGTTTCTTCACCTCTCAGCAATAACCATTTCCTCAGGTTAATGACCACATGGATATTTAATATGAGAATGTTTAAAAACAGGTGGAAAGGGAAAATAATTATGCAGCTTAGATACATCCCCTGGCGTTTGGCCTAATAAAAAGGTAAAATCTTTGATATTAGTAAGCACTTAATAGCTTCAAAAAAACCCTCACATACATGGTCTTATGTCCTCATCAGAGGAGCCAAACGAGGCGGCTGTTTGTCTCCCCGTTTTATAGATGAGACTGAGGCTCTGGTTCCAGGAACTCCCAGTGGCCATGTAGGAGGGTCCATAGCTTGATTGTAGGGCAGCCCAACAAGGTTCCTCCTGGCATCTGGGCAGTATGCCAGCCTTTGGGACCCTTGCAGGGTTGGAGGCCCCTACATAGGAAGCAGAGGGACAGGAGGCTCAGTACCCAGCCTGCTGAGGACTGGGTGAATAGGACACAGGTGAGACTTGCTGAGAACTGACAGAACCAGCTCTCCCTTTCTTTCCATCCCCAGGGGAAATGGTGTGCTGCTGGAGGGAGAGCTGATAGATGTCTCTCGGCATAGCATCTCGGATGCCCATGGCAGGAAGGTGAGGATGCCTCTTTGGTGCTAGCTGGGGGGCACGGACTTCACTGTTGTCACCCACTGTGGCCTCTCCTTCTGCCCAACTCCTTCAGTGCCATGACTCGGGATCTAGCTCCTTTCTTGATGGGCTTAGAAAGCAAGTAGGAAGTAGGTCAGGAGATTGACAGCTACATGGGACCACCAGCTGGAAGGAGAATGGTTTAAGGCTGCGTTGGGCAGTAGACAGGCGGGAGGGTCTGTGTTCTTGCCAGGAGAGCCTGGCTCATGGCTGAGAAGGCAGACCAGGCCCTCAACCCCGATCTCACCTGATTGTCACCTCTGGCACTGTCTGGGCTTCCATTTCCATGTTGATGTCCTGGCTGCCTTTGCCCTCTCGGCCTCCTGGATCCTGCCCTGTATGGCCACCCCATCTCAGGTGCCTTTGGGTACATCTGTCATTCACCATTGGCTACTAGCCTGTGTCTTTTTTCTGAGCACTAGTTCTGACTTTCCACTCCTCTTTCAAAAAGCCCCACCTAGATGTGCTGACCACCTTATCTCCTCGGTCTCTATAATTGAGTTTGGTCTCTAAAAATGCCCTCTCCAGTAGACCAGGGGCTGGTGCTACATGGAGCCTGCATGTCCCTCCTGTACCCTACAGGAGCAGCCTCGGCCCCCAGCTCAGCACTGTTCTGATGTCGGGAGGTATTTTGCTGCACCTTCCCTTCTTAGCACACAGTCAGCAGGTGGGAACACCCATCAGAGCCCCAAGCCAGCCTGCCCAGGAGAGCCCAGCAGTGTTCCCATGCTGATGTGGGGCTCACTTGCCTCTGCTGCCCTCAGGCAGGCCCTTCTCCCAGCCCCGCTTCAAACTTGCCTCCCTTAGTTCCATTCCTGGTGATGGTGCACTTGCCCTCCCAGCCACCAGGCTGCGAACCCTCACTGTCTCCTCCCCAGGTAAGCAGTGCCAGGTCCTGCCGGGCTCCTCCCCTTCCTTTCTTCCCCTCCTCACCTTCCCTTCCTCTGTCCATGGCGGCTCACCTTAGAGGGGCCCTCAGCCTGTCCCGATGACACCTTGCTCCTGTCCCCCTGCCTTCTGGCTGTCCCCAGAGCTCATCCCTGCCCTGTTGCTAACAGGACAAATGTCTTTCCAGAAAGACATCTCTGAGGGTCTCGCTGTTGCTCAGAAACCTTTCAGGATTCCTTGTCCACTAGATAAAATCTAAACTCCGAATGCCAACTCAAGGCCCATCCCGAACAGAGCCCACTTGCTTTCCCAGCCTGGGTTCTCAGAAGGCCTCTGGATGCCCTGCATGGCTCAAGCATGCACAGGGAACTCTTGACTTCTATTTTCTATACTGTCCCAGGCTTTTAATATTCTTCCGCAGCTTCTTCTTCCACGTTTGCTGACTTCCCCACCCTCCCAGACTTCACCTTTCTTGATTCTACCAGGAAGTGGCCTCCTGTTCTGCAGGCCGTGGGAGTGTTTCACCCACCTGCCTTGAACAGATGGCAAACAGCATTTACAGCACACTCATGCTTGGCACTGTGCTTGCCCCTCTGTTATCTCCTTGAACCCTCATAATATCTTTTTTTTTTTTTTTGAGATGGAGTCTCAGTCTGTCACCCAGGCTGGAGAGCAGTGACACGATCTAGGCTCACTGCAACCTCCACCTCCCGGGCTCAAGTGATTCTCCTGAGTCAGCCAACCGAGTAGCTGGAATTACAGGCATGTGCTGCCACCCCCAGCTAATTTTTTGTATTTTTAGTAGAGACCAGGTTTCACCATGTTGGCCAGGGTGGTCTCAGTCTCCTGATATCATGATCCTCCCCTCGGCCTCCCAAAGTGCTGGGATTACAGGTGTGAGCCACCAGTGTCACACCTGGCCAAACCCCCATAATATTCTTAACCACAGATATCATGTTATCTCCATGTGGCGGGGAAACTGAGTGGTTTGTCCCAGGCACTGCATCTGTTGGAAGGTGCAGAGTGGCTACCCTCACCCAGGGCTCCTTCTCAGTGCCCACCTCAGCAGTGCCCATTCCTGCTTCATGGTATTTGGGGTCCTCTGGCTTGGGTTATGGTTTTTGTTTTGTTTTGTTTGAGATACAGTCCAGCTCTGTCACCCAGGCTGGAGTGCAGTGGTGCGATCTCGGCTCACTGCAACCTCCACCTCCCGGGTTCAAGCAATTCTCCTGCCTCAACCTCCCAAGTAGCGGGGATTATAGGCGTACACCACCATGCCCAGCTAATTTTTTTTTTTTTGAGACGGAGTTTCGCTGTTGTTACCCAGACTGGAGTGCAATCGCACAATCTCGGCTCACCGCACCCTCCGCCTCCTCGGTTCAAGCAATTCTCCTGCCTTAGCCTCCTGAGTAGCTGGGACTACAGGCGCACACTACCATGCCCAGCTAATTTTTGTATTTTTAGTAGAGACGGGGTTTCATCCTGTTGACCAGGATGGTCTCAATCTCTTGACCTCGTGATCCACCCGCCTCAGCCTCCCAAAGTGCTGGGATTATAGGCGTGTGCCACCGTGCCCAGCCAATTTTTTATATTTTTGATAGAGACAGGGTTTCACCATGTTGGCCAGGTTGTTCTCAAACTCCTTACCTCAAGTGACCCACCCTCCTTGGTCCCCCAAAGTGCTGGGATTACACACATGAGCCACCGTGCCTGGCTGAGTTACGGTTTTCTGTACATAGTTTTTGTCTGGCTGTGTAGAAGCCCTGGCTTGCCCTGTTAGGAACTTTCAGCACGGCTCATTCTGTGTGGCAGGTGCTCCTGTGAACGCATGAATGAATAAATGTTTGGGTGGGGGCATGTGCCCAGCTTGACTATCTTTTGGCACTGAGGACAGCATCCAGGGTAGATGTGAGGTTGGGGTTGCAGCCAGAGGCCAGAGTGTGTGTTGTGGGATGAGGCCACTTCCCACTCTCTGTCTGCCTGGCCCCAGGAGCGCTACTACATACTGTATATCCGGCCCAGTCACATCCATCACCGTCAATTCGACGCCAAGGGAAATGAAATCGAGCCCAACTTCAGCGCCACCAGGAAAGTGAACACGGGCTTCCTTATGTCTTCCTACAGTAGGTATCCTCTGCCCTCCCTCCCTCCCTTCCTCCTTCAGGGCCCTCCCAAAACGTGGTAGTCTCATGAACCTCCTGGTTCCTGGAAAGTATCTTCGCAGTGTGCTTGGCCTTGAAGCCCAAGTGTCTGGCCTGAGGCTTCCCCACCCACCCCTGGGGCTGCACCTCTTCCAGCCTCCCATTCACTCTGAGGATCCCTGCCCTCCCCTCAGTCCCAGGGACCAGGCTGGCCTTCCCACCCTGTGGCATTTCCTGTGTCTGACAGAATCCCCCACAAACCTGGCTTTGGGCTCCACCTGCCTTTGTGCCGAGTGCAGGCCAGGCCTCAGCGGTCTCCGTTTTCCTGCCTGAATCCTCATTTGGTTCTGGGGTTCTTCTGTCTTAGGCTGCGTGTGCTGTACAACAAAATACCTTCGGCCGGGTAACGTATAAACAACAGAAATGTGTTTTATTTTAACTTTTAAAATTTTGATTTATCTGTGCATTATTAGTGGCTGGGTTTTGCTGTGTAGCCCTGGCTGGAGCGTCATGGCTATTCTCGGGTTCAATCATAGGACACTACAGTCTTCAAGTGATCCTCCTGCCCCAGCCTCCAGAATAGCTGGGACTGTAGGTGTGTGCCACCACACCTGCTTGACAACAAAAATGTCTTGCTTACAGCTCTGGAGGTAGGGAAATCCAGGGTCAAGGTCCAGCAGATTGGGTGTCTGGTGAGGGCTGGCTTCGTGCTTCTAAGATAGTGCGCTTGTGCTGTGTCCTCAAATGGCAAAAGGCGAGGCAGCGCTCTCTTCAGCCTCTTCTGCAAAGGCACTCATCCCACTCACATGCCATGACTCCTGAAGGTCTACCTCTTAATACTATCACATTCGTGATGACGTTTCAACATATGGTTTTTTTTCTTTTTCCTTTTTTTTTTGAGACAGTCACGTTCTGTCACCCAGGCTGGAGTGCAGTGGTACAATCTCAGCTCACTGCAACCTTCACCTCCTGGGTTCAAGCTATTCGTACCTCACCCTTCTGAGCAGCTGGGTTTACAGGCATCTACCACCATGCCTTGCTCATTTTTGTAGTTTTAATAGAGACAGGTTTTGCCATGTTGGCCAGGCTGGTCTCAAACTCCTGACCTCAAGTGGTCCACCCACCTTGGCCTCCCAAAGTGCTGGGATTACAGATATGAGCCACCGCACCTGGCCATGAATTTTTTTCTTTTTTTAAATTTTAGGCATGTGTGTTGTGAGGCATCTATATCATGTGCCAGCCCTTGTGCCACATGCAGAGGGGTCAGGGATGACCAAGACCCGGTTGTATGCCTGAGATGTTCTTAATCTGGTAGAGGAGATGGACAGGCCTGGGGCTGGGTCCTGGGAAGGGCACTGAGTCCAGGAAGGCAGGGCTGGGGACACCCTGGAGCGGGGAATGCCAGTACTGGGTCCTAAAAGATAAGCAGAGGCCAGCCCAGTGCCAGGCATTTGCAGCCCATTTCAGAGGCAGCAGGTGCCCAAGGCCTGGAAGTTTCAGGATTCCTGACCCAGGTATGAGAAGCCATGCAGGGCGGGCAGCAGGAGGGGCGGCTCTGAGGAGCACAGCCCTCACCAAGGTGCAGGGGCAGGCCTGAGGAGCGCAGCCCTCACCAAGGGTGCAGCAGAGACCTGTAGTGTGCAGTTTCAAGTAGGCAGGTGATGTGATCAGGTCTGTGTTTGAAAATCTCCGGGGAGGTAAATAGCCCGGAGCCCAGTGGGGTCTGTGGAGAAGCTGTGATGTTCACCTAGGACAGAGATAAGAAGGCTGGGATTGGCTGGGTGCTGTGACTCACACTTGTAATGCTAACACTTTGGGAGGCCGAGGTGGGTGGATCACGAGATCAGGAGTTCAAGACCAGCCTGGCCAACATGGTGAAACCCCATCTCTACTAAAAATACCAAAAAATTAGCCAGGCATGCTAGCGCATGCCTATAGTCCCAACTATTCAGGAGGCTGGGGCAGAGGAATCACTTGAATTCAAGAGGCGGAGGTTGCAGTGAGCCAAGATCGTGCCACTGCACTCCAGCCTAGGTCACAGAGAGAGACTGTCTCAAGCAAAGAAAAAAGAAGGCCGGGATTAAGGACCCGTCCGTGGGGGTGCTGAGCCTGGAGCAGCTCAAGCTAGAGGAGGCACAGTGGCCTCCATGTTGGCTTAGCTATTGAGGGAGGGAGAGAAGAAAGGAGTCGTGATGACGCCAGGGCTTGGGCATGGGTGCCAGGCTCAGGGGAATGGAGGAGCGAGAAGTTTGCTGGGAGGAGGTCTGTCTGGAACACACTGAGTTTGAGTTGCCAGAGCACTGCTGGGTAGAGGTCCTCTGAGGACTCGGGACAGTTCTGGAACTTGGGGAGAGAACTGGGCTGCAGCACTTTGGGAGTGTTGAAGCTATGGAAGTGGACCAGGTGACCCAGGAGGAGAAAACCAGTGGGCCCAGGAGGCTGTCGTGGGAAACTGCAACCATAGGAGGTGGATAGAGAAGGAAGAACAGGAGATGGAGCAACTGAAAGATCCGAGGGATGGGGAAGGTGTCATGTCTCTGGCAAAGCCAAGGGGAACAGGTGTGCAGAGTTAGCATGGGGTCAGGTACTGCCCAAGAGTTAGTCAGGTCTGATATACGGAGCATCTAAGAGATATGCAGGGAAAGAACTCACCAGTGACTCTGGTGGGGTAGACAGGGTCTGGAGCAGCAGGTGTCAAAGCCAGAACACAGGAAGGCCTTGAGGAAGGGTCAAGGAGTGGGGAGTGAGAGACAGGTCCTCAGGAGGAGAGGGGGTCTGCAGCCCAGGCAGGGGAGCTGGCTTGAGACAGAGAGGCCTCCTATTCTTTGAGACAGAAGGAGATGTTTTGTGTGGTCAGAAGTGAGTTGACGGCTAGGCGTGGTGACTCATGCCTGTAACCCCAGCACTTTGGGAGGCAGAGGCTGGTGGATCACTTGAGATCATGAGTTCGAGACCAGCCTGGCCAACATGGTGAAACCCCGTCTCTACTAAAAATACAAAAATTAGCTGGGCATGGTGGTGTGCACCTGCAGTCCTAGCTACTTGGGAGGCTGAGAAAGGAGAATCACTCAAACCCAGGAGGTGGAGGTTGCAATGAGCCAAGATCACACCACTGCACTTCAGCCTGGCAACAGAGCAAGACTCTGTCTCAAAAAAAAAAAAAAAAAAAAATGAGTTGACAGGTAGGTGGTGTTAGGGAAGTGAGGGCCCCACTTGATGGCTTCTGTTATCTTGCAAAGAAGGTGAGATGCTTTGGCTAGGGGTGTCCGGGTGGAGGACTGAGGAGAATGGGGCAGCCATCTGTGCAGTCCCAGAAGGCATCCCTGGCAGAGGTGGGCTGAGGTTGTACACCATGAATGGAATGTGCTCCTTGAAATGTGTTCATGGGTTGGCTGGGGTGTTCTCCAGCGAGGTGTGGCCAGATGGGCTTGGCATGGTGCGAGCAGCCTGTGGGATGAGCCCGGGGTTGCTGTGCTGGGGTGTGGCCTTGTGAACACCCAGCCCTGTGAGGCTGGGCCCACAGTCCAGGGGTGCCCCTCCCCTAATCCAGCACCTGGATTTAGGGCTCCTTCCTCAGCCCATGAACTCTGTCAGCGCCAGCAGAGAGGAGGGGGACTACCAGAGTTTACTTCTGCTTCCGGCAGACCCCACCCCAGCCAGGGAGACCCTGAGCGCCTGGAAAGAACCCTGCCTGGCCACGGGGGTCTCAGTGAGAAGGTGGAATCGTGTTTGGGTGCTTTGAATCCTGCCTCCTGTACTACCGTGTGACCTCGAGCTAATGACTGAACCTCTCTAAGCCCTGGTTTTCTCATCTGTAACATGGGAATAGTGAAAACATGTGAATGCCCACCAAGGGTTCCACATGCCAGGTGCTATGCTGTGTGCTTTACCTCCTTTATACGTCATGTCGGTCCTGTCAGGTAGAGATTGATTTTACCCTATTTTCAGGTACAGAGAGGTGATGTAACTTGTCCGAGTTATTGGCCAGGCTGCCTGGCCCAGCCCACGCCTGCCTGCCTCTGCTGTGGAGTTCCTGGATGAGGACTCGCAGAACGGGCACCGAGTCCCAGCCTCTGGGTGACTGATCCTGGAAACACTCAGCTCTCACCTGGCTCCTAAGGGGCCCTGTGGAAGTGCTTCCTGCCATGGTGATAATGACCCTCCCGCGATCTGTCCCTGCAGAGGTAGAAGCCAAAGGGGACACCGACAGGCTCACGCCCGAGGCACTGAAGCAGCTGGTCAACAAGCCAGAGCTGCTGGCGCTGACAGAGCGCCTTACCCCCGACCACACAGTGGCGTTCTGGATGCCGGAGTCAGAGATGGAGGCAATTGAGCTCGAGCTGGGGACCGGGGTGAGGCTGAAGACGCGGGGTGATGGTCCCTTCCTGGGTGAGCAGCGCAACCCTCACTCTGGCCTGCCATTCCTGAGTGGCTCATGAGGGCTCTCAGCCTCCTTCTGCTTAGAGCTCATGGGACAGGCAAGCACTGGCCTCCATGGGGACATGACCAAGCCCTTGAAATTGACTCCTAAATCCCTGCACAAGTGCCCTGGGGCCATTAGGCCTGACACCTTGGGTCCTGATGTGCCACCCAATCCCACAGTGTCTGTAAGTGACCTCTCCCCACCATACCTTGGGAGTCCCACTGGGTCCCCTAGGGCCTCAATGGCCATGTGTAGGCCTGGAGGAAGCAGTGGTTTAACCCAGGCCTAGGGGACCCACCAGAATGGGCCCAGCCCTCACTGTTTCCCCCACAGGGACAGAGGATATTCAACTTCGTCTCTTCTTTCAGAATCTTTGGCCAAACTTGAGGCTGGGACAGTGACCAAGTGTAATTTTGCTGGCGATAGAAAGACAGGGGCGTCCTGGACAGACAACATCATGGCCCAAAAGTGTTCGGAGGGGGCTGCAGTGGAGACCCGAGAGCAGGGGGACGGAGCAGAGGACGAGGAGTGGGTGAGTCAGCGTGGAGGTGCTCCTGGAGTGGGGGTGGTTGAATCTCCTGGCAGGAGGGTGGCACGTGCTGGCTGAGTTTGTGGGGAGGATGAAGAGGCCACGGGATGAATCTTAGCCCCCAGCTTTAGTGGAATTCTGCGAAACTCCTGGGAGTATGTTAGCACCAGGAAAATTCCTTTAAGGTGTGAAGAAAGATGTCCTGGGGCCTTTCTTGAAGTTGGCTCTGAACTAACTGCGTGAAGCCCCAGAGATTCCTGAGTGGTAGGAAGGAGGGGTGCAGAGGCGTATTAATGATGGTCACTGAGTCTCCAAACATTTCCACTTCAGGTGATGCATTGGCCACATTGAGGCAGTTGAGCAGCCGAATGTGTAGCTTCCTCCTTTGATTTGGGCTCCTGGCCTGAAGCATCTGGAGAGTGACTTGGTTCTTCCCGGATGTTCTTTTGCTGAGAGTCCCCTTGTTGATCCTCGGCCTATTCACAATTGCTTTTCTTCTCATTTCTTTTTTTTTTGGAGATGGAGTCTTATTTGGTCACCCTGGCTGGAGCACAGTGGCACGATCATGGCTCACTGCAGCCTCGAACTCTGGGCTCAAGTGATCCTCCCACCTCAGCCTCTCAAGTAGCTGGGACTGTAGGCATGCGCCATCGCACCTGGCTAATTTTTTTATTTTTTGTAGAGACAAGGTCTTGCCATGTTGCCCAGGTTCACAGTTGTTTTTCTGAAGTATATTTTACCCAAAGATTTGAATTGATGTCAAAAGGCCCCAAAATGAACATTTAAAGCAAAGAAGTCACAGAACAATGGGCTATTTAGCTAGGTGATGGAGAAGATGTCTTTTGCCAGAGAAAGCAGGGGCAGGCAGATGAAACTATCTGGATTCCTCCGCTGGGTGTGGTGGGTGGCTCAAGCCTGTAATCCCAGCACTTTGGGAGGCCGAGGTGGGTGGATCGCGAGGTCAAGAGATCGAGACCATCCTGGTCAACAAGGTGAAACCTCGTCTCTACTAAAAATACAAAAAAATTAGCTGGGCATGGTGGTGCGCGCCTGTAGTCCCAGCTACTCAGGAGGCTGAGGCAGGAGAATTGCTTGAACCCAGGAGGCAGAGTTTGCGGTGAGCCAAGATTGCGCCGTTGCACTCCAGCCTGGGTAACAAGAGCGAAACTCTGTCTCAAAAAAAAAGAAAGTGTCTGGATTCCTCTTTGTCTTCATAACGTGAGTCTTGGACAGAAAAACAGTTGCAGCTGAAGGGCCAGCTGTTCTGAGGCGAGACCCAGGCAGGCACTCATGGGCCCCAAAGGCACCACGCAATTGAACCCTTGTTTGTCTGATAACTTGCAGTGACACTTACGACATGTGCTCTCTCCACATCTCTTTACTTTTCCCCTTGGATTTCTCTAGGATGACTGAGGTGAGTGGGACATAAATGCCTCCAGGGCCACCAGCACCTTTGGTAGCATTGTTGAGAATCTCTTCCATGAACTTCTACTCTGGACCTGGCTCTTCTGCACAGCCGCACTGGAATACTCTTTGAACAAGCTCTGCTAGAACCAAACCCATGACCACTGTGTTGGTGATGGGGCCCCATGCTGTGGCTTATGGAGGGCCTGTCCCTGCATGTGAGTCTAGCCTTCCTAGACATTACATGACGACCCTTTAAAAATAAATTAGACTTTGGGAGGCTGAGGTGGGTGGATCACGAGGTCAAGAGATTGAGACCATCCTGGCCAACATGGTGAAACCCCGTCTCTATTAAAAAATACAAAAATTAGCTAGGCGTGGTGGTGCATACCTGTAGTCCCAGCTACTCGGGAGGCTGAGGCAGGAGAATCTCTTGAACCTGGAAGGCGGAGGCTGCAGTGAGCTGAGATTGCGCCACTGCACTCCAGTGCTCCAGCCTGGTAACAGAATGAGACTCTGTCTCAAAAAAAAAAAATTAGAGATGAAGATCTCCCTATGTTGCCCAGGTTCTCCTCAAACTCCTGGACTCAAGCAATCCATCCACCTTGGCCTCCCAAGGTGCTGCGATTATAGGCGTGAGCCACTGCCCCTGGCCTCATGACCACCCTGGCCCTGATGGCAGCCTTATTTTTGAAGGCAGGTGGTGGGAGAGAGCCCGGGCAGCCTGAGAGGAACTGGGCCTGGTCTCGGTGAAGCATGGGGATACCCCTTGTCTAAATGCAGAGTGGCTAAGAGAAGTTAGCAGGGCTCTTCCTCTTTTCTCATTGGTTCCTGCTTTCCTTCCCCACTGCCCCATCCTCAGCGCTCTGTGTTGGAGCCTCTATTATCCTGCCATAAGCCTTCAGGTCCCCTGTACCCTTCCCCCGCGAGTTGCCATTTCTTATTCCCCCACTGATCCCATGTACCTTGGGGGTTCCTGTCATCTGATACCCCTGGCTGCCTTCCTGGTAGATGCCATTCCAGAGAGGCCAACAGTGTTCCCAGGTGTGGCTGGCTGGTCTGCATCGCTCAGACTCACTCTGCCAGGCTGCAGTTATGAGAATACCTTTGTTGTTGTTTTGTATCTGGAGAACTTTTTATGAATGAGTAAATCTTCAGAAAGGAATTCCTCCACCCTGACTGGGTTATTGCCAGGTGTAAACGGTCTTTCAGCTGAGCCATGTTCCTGCGAGAAGGAAGCCATTTCTCTTGGGTCATGAGCATTGCCAGCGTGGGTGGTGACCCACACCCACCCCACACCCAGAGGTCTGTGATGCCTGCAGCTGAAGGAAGGAAGTCATTTTTCTTGGGTCATGAGCACTGCCTGTGTGGCGGTACACCCACAGCCAGGTCTGTGAGAGGCCTGGAGCTGAAGTCTCCATATCATCAGGACTTGGTGGATCCTGCTTGACTTGGGAAAAGAGAAGGTGGTGGTGAACTCATGGAGTCCCTTGAATGTGTCAAAACACAATGCCAGATGATTTCCACGACAATAATGACTCATACTTGTGCTGAGCACTTGGGAGATCTTACTTGTCACAACAGTCCATGAGATACTGATTATTATCCCCATTTTTTCATGAGACGAAAGCTCAGAGCTCTAGGATAGTATAAAGTGACAAGAGGAATTGACACCCAAGCACCCAGATTTCAAAGCCCACATTCTCAACTACTGAACTATTTATATTACAGAGCAGGAAAAGGGTCTCAGAGAGGTTATGCAACCTGCCCAGAGTCACACAGCTAATGAGTAGCAGAATCAAGATTCAAACCCACAGCTGTCAACAGCAAACCCTGTGTTCCTTCTGCTGTCCCCTGCTTCCTTGCCCTTCAGAAAGGTCTTGGATACAGGGGCCAGAGGATGTGGTAGCCGCTTCACTGGCGTTCTGTGTCTGAATGGGACTGTCTCTCAGGCAGGCCATGCTGGAGCCTCATCCATGGGTGTGGCCAGGGAGATGGCTGAGCAGAAGGATTGCTGGGGACACTCACGGGGGGTTGAGTCACCCAGTGGGGACATCCTGCTGTCTAAAGCACTGTGGCCAAAGGGTATGGCAAATAAATGGCCAGGACACCATTCCAAACAAAGAGGCCCAGTGTGTCAATAGCAGAGGTACTAAAGCAACAGAAAGGGTGGGGCATCCTGCGGGGGCTTCAGGAAGGAAAGGCCACTCGTGGCTGGAGCTCAGTGAATGGGAGCTGGTGTGTGAGATGAGGCTGGAGAGTGGGCATGGCCTCCTTAGGCGTGGTAAGGAACTGAGGACTATCCTGGAAGCCAGGGATCCCATGGAGAGTGATGAGATCTGATCTGTGTTTCAAAGATTGCTTGGCCGCAGAGTGACTGGAGGCGAGTAGCTGCTTTAGGAGGCGGCTGCCGTTGCCTGGGTGAGAGGCTGGAGGGGTTTGCTTTACAACAGTGGCAGGGGAGATGGACAGAAGTTAATGGTTTGAGGGGCATTCGGGAGCAAAACCAACAGGACTGGGGGGTGATGAGGGGGTCAAACATGATGTCCAGATTCTGGGTGAGTGGCAGTGCTGTGGTGCATAAGCAGTGCTGTTATGGTTCTGGGGGACTTGCTGTTTAGCAGGAGCCCAACCTGTGGCTAGGAGGTATAGAGAACTGAACCCAGCTCCCTTGGGATGGGAAAACCAAGTGGGCTGAGGGTAAGGATAGGGCCCAGAGCAGGGTGCAGTGGCTCATGACTAATCCCAGCACTTCAGGAGGCCACAGTGGGTGGATCACTTGAGGTCAGGAGTTCGAAACCAGCTTGGTCAACACAGTGAAACCCCGTCTCTACCAAAAAAATACCAAAATTAGCTGGGCATGGTGGCACGTGCCTGTAGTCCCAGCGACTTGGGAGGCCGAGGCACGAGAATTTCTTGAACCTGGGAGGTGGAAGTTGCAGTGAGCTGAGACTGCCATTGAACTCCAGCCTGGGCGACAGAGTGAGACCCTGTCTCAAAAAGAAAAAAAAAAGAATAGGATCCCAGGCTCAGCAGGTAGGGAAACTGAGGCAAAACCCGATTCCCTAGGACTAGGGACTAGGAGGGAGAAGATGGAATGCCGCTGTGTCTCAGAGGCTCCCTGGGCACCCAGGGCTCATCCTAGCACCCTGATAGAAGACAGTGAACAGCCACACTGTCTCCAGCTCCCCAGCAGATGGTGGGGCCAAAGCCCCTGATTTTCCGCACCTCCTGCCCGGTCAGGACTGACTTAGGCCTGAGGGCAGGCCCAGCCAGGGCAGCCTTCCCAGATACACCTGTGGGGAGCTAAGGAAATAAGGCAGGGCTGAAACCCAGCTTCCAGGGGCCCCCGTGTGGCTGCCAGGGGCAGCTTTCTGGAGCTAGACTGGATCCTATTACTCCCCAGATGAAAAGTTCAAATTCCTTAACACAACTCAGGGCTCATCACGACGACATCACCGCCCGCCTTTCTCTGCTCACTTCCTCCTTATGAGCTCTGGGACAATCCCTCCAGACCAGCCCGAGGGATCTTCCACAGGTTGTTAATAGGACTAGAAACAAAAATGGTGGTGTTCCTATGATCTGATTTGTTGGAACAAACGTAATGTTTCAAACATTTCTGTAGGATTTCTAAGAGCTTTTAATATACTAATGATTACCGTGCCTCTTTAAGGCAGGGTGTGCTTACGTATTGCCCACATTTCTTTGGTCATAGAACCCATTTTTGTGAGGAGCATTTCATGGGACAGCTGTCCCGAGAAACAGTTTGGGAAGGGCAGTGTGGGTCCCATCAAGGGCTGGCTGCTCCCGGAGCAGGCCACTCCCCACTTCCACTGCCTGGCCTGCGCTCTTATTGGGAGGTCCCTTTCCTCTATCTAGCTGAATTTCTTTTCTTCCACCAATGTCCAGCTTGCCTTTCACCGTGGGCCTAAGGATGGAAATTTACAGTTATTTTATATCTTCAAACAGAAACAAGCAAATCCTCTGAGCTTCCATTCATATGGAGGAAAAAAAATTTTTTTTTTTGAGATGGAGTTTCACTCTTGTTGCCCAGGCTGGAGTGCAATGGCTCAATCTCGGCTCACTGCAACCTCTACCTCCTGGGTTCAAGACATTCTCCTGCTTCGGCCTCCCAAGTAGCTGGGATTACAGGCATGTGCCACCATGCCCAGCTAATTTTGTATTTTTAGTAGAGATGGGGTTTTGCCATGTTGCCTAGGTTGGTCTTGAACTCCTGACCTCAGGTGATCTGCCCCTCCCATTGGCCTCGCAAAGTACTGAGATTATAGGCATGAGCCACCACGCCCAGCCGATATGGGAAAATTTTTGAGGGACTTAACTAATCTCCATAAATAGCAATGCACTTAGGAAATATATTTAAAAGGGAAAAAAAGACTCATAATTTCACTCAGTCATTATTGTAATTTTTAGTGTTTGGGTTTTTTAACATGTAATTTCTATATATAGTTTCGGTTTTTGTAAACCTGCATAGGGGGGTTTCTGGTACAAATGGGAAAACCTGCTAGACAAATTCTAAAAAACCTGTCGTGCTTGTACGTAGTTGTTGTAACACTATGCCCACACATAACATTAGATATGACTTTCTCGATTAGTGTTACATAATGACTTTCCATATTGCTATAGAGGCTTTGTAACAATTATTTCCAAGATTGCTGCCATGGGGTAGTCATCAAGGTCCATCTTTTAGATATTTAAATTGATCCCTGTGTGGCCAACAGAATTCATGTTTCAAACAATGTTGAAAATTATATAGTTCCCTGAATTCCCCACCTCCAGCTATATTTTGGGGTTATTTCTTTAGGAACAGATTCCCAGGAGTCATACTACTGAGAATCTAGAAATCTTTTGTAAAGTTGTTATATTGCCACATTGCTTCCCAAAAGGGTTGTTCTAAACCATAATTTCACCAGCAATGTAGGAGAGAACCATTTTCATGCTGCCTTTGCCAGAACTGGGTATGAAAACATTTTTAAAATGATATTTGAGAAGGTGAAAATAATATTTTAATATATTTGAATTTGCCTTTCCCCTAACTTATAGTGAGCATTAAACATTTTTTCCTTTTCCTACTATATTTCTCCTTTTGTTATTCAGTTCTTTCATCCATTTATCTACTGGGGAGATGGGGGGTGACATCTTTTTAGTTTATCAGAGTTATTTATATTTTAAACATAATCATTTGCCAAAATTTAACAATTTTTTGGTTAATTCTTTTTTTAAAGAATTATTTTATATATATATATATATATATATATATATATATATATATATTTTTTTTTTTTTTAATAGAGACAGGGTTTCACCATGTTGGCCAGGATGGTCTCCATCTCTTGACCTCGTGATCCACTTGTATTGGCCTCCCAAAGTGCTGGGATTACAGACGTGAGCCACCATGCCCGGCCTGGTTAATTCCTTTTACAAAAAAAAAAAATCTTATCTGTTGATGTTTTGTCATTTTTATTGCTTCTAAGCTAATACATATTTTTTGATATTATTCAATTTCATTTTCTTCTATTTAGGTTATTACCTGGTTTTATACTTAACTACTTATTTTCAAATCGCTAACCAGTTATCCTAGTAGTATTTACCGAATTCCTTCTCACTCCTACATCACATATTAAAATTATTTTATGCCTAAATTATCTATTTCAGTCTTCCTGTAATTATGTTTTATAGTACCATTTTAATAGTTGACAGAGCTAATTCTTCTTCATAATTCTGTTTCAGAATTTTCTTTGATATTATTCCTCAACATTTTAAACATTTTGTCAAGTTTCAGTGCAATTGACTTTGGGTTTTTATTTATTAAAAAACTGGGCCATGCCAGGCCCAGTGGCTCATGGCCTGTAATCCCAGCACTTTGGGAGGCTGAGACAGGTGCATCATTTGAGGTCAGGAGTTCAAGGGCACCCTGGCCAACGTGGTGAAACCCATCTCTACTAAAAATACAAAAATTTTCCAAGCATGGTGGCATGCACCTGTAATCCCAGCTACTGGGGAGGCTGAAGCAGGAGAATCGTTTGAACTCAGGAGACAGAGATTGCAGTGAGCTGAGATGGTGCCACTCCACTCCAGCCTGGGTGACAGAGATTCCATCTCGGAAAAAAAAAAAAGAAAAAAACTGGGCCAGGCATGGTGGTGGTTTGGGAAGCTGAGGCTGGAGGAGTGCCTGAGGGCAGCAGTTTAAGGTAACAGTGAGGTATGATTGTGCCACTGTGCTCCAACCTGGATAAAATACTATCCCAAAACTCAGGCTGCAAAAGTAGTACATATTTATTTGAAGGAAAAAAAGGAGAACTTGATCATTCTGCCACCCAAAGATGCTTTTAAATCACTTATGTGGAACTCAACGGTGCCGTGCACCGTTCCAAGTGCTCACAAATGTTATAATAACTCCTTTTGTGCGCATAACAACTGTCTGCAGTTGGTAGGCTCATTTTCCAGTTTTATGGTTTAGGAAACTGACATGACACCTTTTCTACAGATGAAAACCTTGCACAGGGTGCTGAGGCAGTCCACCTTGTCCAGGGAGCCCATGGAATCCACAGAACCAGGCTTTGAATCAGGGCAGGTGGTTCCAGGGACCTGTATGGATCAAACACCAGCCCATCAGATACATTATTCCTATGTTGGTGTATTTACCTCCAAACTTGTGTAAAGTCGGTTGTCCCTGTACATACTTTGTGTAATCTTTTTGCTTAACAGATGTCACGAACACTTCTGTATCATAAATCTATCCCAGCATTTTTATTAGTTAATATTTCTCATATTCATGTAGAACAATGCATTTAACTAATTTCTCATTTTGTCATAATTTTCTTCCTATTTCCCCTGTAATAATACTGCTGAGATATATATTCTTTTTTTTTTCTTTTTCTTTCTAAGTGTTCTGAAGATACTCTGGCAGAAGTGTATGTTTCTGAGGCTAAATCTTTTCACACATTCACAACCATTTGATCATAAATTCTAAAGCAAGAAACGCTGAGCCTAATATATATATATATATTTTTTGAGACGGAGTCTCGCTCTGTTGCCAGGCTGGAGTGCAGTGGCGTGATCTCAGCTCATTGCAACCTATGCCTCCTGGGTACAAGCGATTCTCCTGCCTCAGCCTCCGAGTAGCTGGGATTATAGGCGCCCGCCACCACACCCAGCTAATTTTTGTATTTTTAGTAAAGACGGGGTTTCACCATGTTGGCCAGGCTGGTCTCGAACTCCTGACCTCAAGTGATTCGCCCGCCTCCGCCTCCTAAAGTGTTGGGATTACAGGCGTGAGCCACCGCGCCCGGCCCGTTAGATATTTTAAAGGCTCCTTTCTGATTCATATTGCCAAACAGTCCTCTGGATCGATGTACCGCTCTATCCGGTGCGCCATCTGCAGTATTCGTACGCGCTCCTCTTCACCCACACTAGGTCATTAAAATAACAAATAAAAACAAGACCTTGATGGATTAGGGATCGCCGAGACTTTTTAAATGAAAATGCACTAAAAATCCTTAATTCCACCATTCACCGTCTACCATGGAGAAACTGCCCATGATTCTCCGGGGAGACAGCCACATGATTCACTCAGCATTGAATACTGAAACATAAAAAAGGAACGAAATGGTTCTCAACCGCTGAACGGCCGAAAGCCTGGCGTCTCCACGCCGCGGAACGTTCTGCAAGCGCTAAGGGAAGGCGGGGGTGCACGTTGAGGGGCGGACGGTGGAAAAGGAAGCTCCCGCGGTCTCTCCGTTTTGGCAACCAGGCCGTGGGTCAAGTTTCGGCTTCTGGGGCCAGCGGTCGGTCTGGGCGAGAGGCACAGACCCGGATTCGCATCCTGACAGGGCCCTGACCGGCCAACCGACGTTGGCCGAGGTGACGAGGCTCTTCGGCACCCGCACCGGCCCTCCGCAGGGTACCCCGCCGTCCGCTCCGTGGCGTCCGTGAGGCCGGACTCTTGGGTGCCAGGGCTCCTGGGCGCCAGGGCCATGTTTCCCGGGGCCGCTCTCAGTGACGCACCAACCGGAAGTGACAGTGTTGTGGCGGAAGGAGGCGCTTTCTGGGAGTAGCCGGTGCTGAGTGAACCGTGGCCGGCAAAGATGATTCAGGCGATTCTCGTTTTCAACAACCATGGAAAGCCGCGGCTAGTCCGCTTCTACCAGCGTTTCGTGAGTGCGGCCCGGCTTCACCACGCCCCTTCAGGGCTCCCACTACCTCGTCCCTCCTCTCTGGCTCGCCGGCACCCGGGGGCCCCGTTCTTTGGTCACCTGGGGCCCCTGCCCGGTGCATGGCCCCCGCCTTACTTAAACACATCCTGGGCGCGGGCCGGTGCGGGGCCTCTGTCTCTCGCCCTGCTGCCCCCGCTCTGACCCCTTTCTAGATCCCGGCATTTCTGTGCCATTTTGTGACATTTTCCCTTGGGTCTCTGGGAACGAGATAGAAGAGACAGTGGGGAGTGTGCCTCGTTGAGCACTTGAATGATTGAAGTCACGTGCTGTCATCTTTTTGGTTGTTGACCAGAGTTTCGCGATGAAGTATTCAGTTTCTGAAAGTTTTCGTTATAGCCAGAGGGTCTGGAAAAGTTCTTTTTATGGAATTATTTTGCTTCGGTGTTGGCTGGAACTTAACAGAGACTAGATACCCTTCATTCTGTAGGATTGGAGAAAATCAGTTTAAAAGTGGAAAAATGAGAAATTATAAATGCTACTGCGTAAGGGCTCAATAAGTGATTACGTAAATTTGAATATTCCAGGCACGTTCCTTTGCAAACACATAAGCATCAGTATTTGCCTGCTGTCTTTGAAGATTTTATTTCTTCATGGCGGGGTTTCACATGTTACATAATTGGGAGACGGGTGAAACTGAAAAGGGGGAAGAGTCAGAAAACATGTTCAGGCTTCAGCGCCACCTTTTGTACTCCAGCATCTATTGACAAATTAATAAACCCTTTTCGGACTTTTATTCCGTCTTTTGTCTACTCCTTCATAGGATGTTTTATTTCTTGAGACATAGTCTCGCTCTGTCGCCCAGGCTGGAGGGCAGTGGTGCGATCTTGTCTCCGCGCCCCGGGTTCAAGCGATTCTCCACTTCAGCCTTCCAAGTAGCTGGGGGGGACTACCCGCCACCATGCCCGGTTTATTTTTATATTTTTAGTAGAGACCGGGTTTCACCCTGTTGGCCGGGATGGTATCGATCTCTTGACCTCGTTATCCTCCCGCCTCGGCCTCCCAAAGTGCTGGGATTACAGGCGTGAACCACCGCGCTCCAGCCCAGTTTACTTATTTAAAGGGGACAATTCAATGTTGCATGTTCACAGAGCTGCACAACCATCACCACAAGCAATTTTAGATCATTTTCATCACCCCAAAAAGAAATCTCTTAGCAGTCACTCCGTATTTCTTCTACTGATGCTCTCCGCTCTAGAGTCTGTCTTTCCCTCTAAATTTGCCTATTCCAGGCATTGCCTATAAATGGAATCATAAAATAGGTGTTTTCTTCTGTCCACCATCTTTCATGAAGTATAATGTTTTCAAGATTCATCCATGCTATAGCATGTGTCTGATGTTCTTTTATTGCTGAATAATATTCTGTTATATGGATATGCCATATTTTGATTGTCTATAAGATGATGTTCTTTTTGACTCGTATAACTAATGCTGCTATGAACATTCTTGTGCAAGTTTTTGTGTAGACCTGTGTCTTCGTTTCTCCTGGTTATATACCCAGGAGTAGAATTGCTGGGTCATGTGGTAACTATAGTGAACATTTTGAGAAACTGCAAACTATTTTCCAAGTGGCTGCACCATTTTACGTTTTTGTCAGCAGTGTATGAGGATTTCGGTTTCTTCACATCTCTGCTATTAACTAATCTGTTTTTTTGATTAAAGACATTTTAGTGGGTGTAAAGTGGTATCTCATTGTGGGGTCCCCCCCAGTCCCCGAGACTGAGTCTCACTCTGCTGCCCAGGCTGGAGTGCAGTGGTGTGATCTTGGCTCACTGCAATCTTTGCCTCCCAGATTCAAGCCATTCTCCTGCCTCAGCCTCCCGAGGATTACAGGTGTCGGTCGCCCTGCCTGGCTAATTTTGTTTTTTTAGTAGAGATGGGGTTTCGCTGTGTTGGCTAGGCTGGTCTCAAACTCCTGACCTCAAGTAAGCTGCCCACCTCGGTCTCCCAAAGTGCTGGGATTACAGGTGTGAGCCACCTCGCCCAGCTTATTGTGGTTTTGATTTCAATTTCCATAATGACTAATGATGTTGAGCATCTTTTCATGTGTTTATTGACCATTTGTGTATCTTTGAAGATCATAGGATTTTATAAGACCTTATGAGCACATAAATGAAAGTATGTTGAAAACTACAGAGCACTAAAAAGATATGAGGGGTTATTAAAATCACTGAGGCATGTAAGCAATTGGTAGTTTATCTTTTTACTGAACTAGAAATTAGGTGGCCTCATCATTTGATACCACTTGCCCACTGCTGCCACTTCCCCCAGCATCAGATCAAAGGCTTTAGTTCAAAAGATTTGTCAGTTTAAAGTGCTGGTGCTTAGCGTGTTTTGTATTTCACATAGTTAATCTCTTACAGCATCCTGTCATCTGTGAGCTTTATGTGTTCTTTAAATGGAAATGAGGAAAATAGTGACTGATTTACGCAAATTTATAGTGACCAATGATTAGCAAGTTTTCATTCATTCAGTAAATACTATGAGCCATTCCATACTCATGTGAGTCAAAGTAATTTCCCCACCATGACATTTTGTCTTTTTTCCCCCCCTCTCTGTTTCTTTTAAATAAATAACCATTTCAAAGCTAAATTCTGTGCTGTAGAAAGAAAGGGATTACAATTACTTGAACCTATTTTCTGATTCTTGGGGCAAGTCCAATTTGAAAGTTTTCTAATGCTTTGCTACTCAAAGTGTGGTCCCCAGACCAGCAGAAATGGTATTGCCTGGGTGCTCACCAGGCTTGCGTCTCAGGACTTAACCTATACCTACTAAATCTCAATCTGTATTTTAACAACACAGCTGATTCATTGCAAATTAAGATTTGAGAAGCAATGGTTTAGAGCTTTTAATTATTTTCTGTCTTAATTGCTGGTTTCTCCCTCTCATTATCCTTTTTTACCATACCTCTTCTGAAACTCATATGTATAATTAGAAATCAGAGGTGAGTTATCAAAGTGATTTCATCAGAGTTGAGCTTTCTTATGCAGTTAGTAAGTGAAAAAATAAGGCAAGGCACAGTGGCTCACGCCTGTAATTGCAGCATTTTGGAAGGCCAAGGCAGGTGGATCACTTAGGTCAGGAGTTTAAGACCAGCCTTACCAATATGGTGAAACCCCGTTTATACTATAAATACAAAAATTAGCCGGGTGTGGTGGTGCGTGCCTGTAATCCCAGCTGCTGCAGAGGCTGAGGCAGGAGCTGGAGGTTGCAGTGAACTGTGATTGCACCACTGCCTGGGCAACAGAACAAGATTCTGTCTAATAATGATAATAATAATACCTTTCATTTGTAGCTCTGTGATTGTTCAGAATTTTTAATCTGTAGTCCGTTTTTCTCAATAATAGTTTGCTGGTGAGTAACACAGTGTCTTATATGTAGTATCTATATTACCAGTGCAAAAGATGGCAGCTGTATTTGCCAATACAGGTTTTTAAAATATTTACATGATTACATCTTGACCTTCTTTAAGTGGTAGACCCATTGAGATTTATTATATACCTGTCATAGATGTTTTCCAAGGAAAAACAAAATATTTCAGGATCAGGCCTTCTAGTTATTCTTTGACCTTTTTTTTTTTTTTTTGAGACAAAGTCTTGCTCTGTTGCCCAGGCTGGAGTACAGTGGCACAATCTTGGCTCACTGCAACGTCCACCTCCTGGGTTGAAGCAGTTCTCCTGCCTTAGCTTCCCGAGTAGCTGGGATTACAGGTACATGCTATCACACCTGGCTATTTATTGTATTTTTAGTAAAGACAGGGTTTCACCATGTTGGCCGGTATGGTCTTGAATGCCTGACCTCATGATCTGCCCGCCTCGGCCTCCCAAAGTGCTGGGATTACAGGCGTGAGCCACTGTGCCCAGCCTATTCTTTGACTTTTTATGAGAGTCTATCAATTTCCTTTCCTTGTTTAAATGTCAGCTTACCTATGGGACAGTAACAGTTAGTGACTTAGATATCTAGGTAAATATACCCTATTTTAATTCCTGTATCAGAGCCTTGTCATCCATTTTTCATAGCTTCACTCTTATTTTTTCTCTGCTCATCATTTTTTCATTTCTGGAAACTACTACTAAATGTTTAGATGCTCCCAGCTTACAAACACTTCTTCCCTTGTCCATACAAGGATGGGATGTAGTTTTTCAGGCATGCCCACTGATTCAGTTATTTTTTTATTCCATAGCCAGAGGAAATTCAACAGCAGATTGTTCGAGAGACTTTCCATCTAGTCCTCAAGCGAGATGACAACATTTGTAACTTCTTGGAGGGTGGAAGGTAAACTGTCAGCTTCATTTTTCTCCCCATGTATCCACTCTTGTGAGTGACCTTCATTGTTGCATCTTCTGGCAGCACTCAAGTGTCAGGTGGTATTTGATGCAACTTTGACTGGTCTCAGCATGATCCGCTCAGAGGGAGACACAATTCTCTTTGGGACACAATTTAGTTATTGTGCTTCTGATATGGCTCATTTAGATGTTTGGGCCCTGGAAGGATAGGCAGGAGAAAAGGTGAGGGAAGGTGGCTTTAGGTACCTCTGTCAAACTTGGTTGCCATTCACCTGGGAAGAATGGCGTGCTTCTAGCATTTGGCCTTCTTTCCAGTGGGCCCTTTCTTATTCTTTGACACTAGGTTTCTTCTTGATGTGTTTCAGCTATGGGTACTAAATGTTTCCTGTCTTCCGCAGTTTGATTGGTGGCTCAGACTACAAACTGATCTACCGGCACTATGCTACCCTCTACTTTGTATTTTGTGTGGATTCGTCAGAGAGTGAACTTGGAATCTTGGACCTCATCCAGGTATGTGTAGTCAGCTAATGATGGCAGCAGTTTTAGAGAGTTTGCACGGAATTTTTCAGTAACCAGCCTGTAGAACCTTGTGTCAGTCTCCTTACTGATATTGGTAAAAGTTGCCAGATGTCCACCAGATGGTGCTCTGGGAAAGCTCCTGAGAAATGCTCAGCACTTTTACATTTATTGGTTTATACCTAGTCCTTGCAATGCCCTTAGTTTTCATGATTGACTATTTTTTTTCAGCTAGCGAACCAAATGACATTTACAAATTTATACTTTTAGCTGGGTGTGGTGGCCCACAATCTGCCACTGCACTGTAGCCTGAGTGACAGAGTGAGACCCTGTCTCCAAAAAAAAAAGCTCAAGATGTAGCATCACAAAATCTGGGTTTGACTCATGAATCTGTCATCTGAAAAGTGATATTAGGTTGTAGAATTCAAATGTGACACTGTGCTTTATAGTACTGTAAACTATGTAGCAGGCTATAGAAATGTGCACATAATATGAGTTTATGTGAAAATGAAGGAAATATAGTAATCATGTATTTTTAAAATTGGGATGGAGTGCTTGCTTCAGCTGCATATATACTAAAAGTAGACCAATGAAGAAAAGATGAGCATTGCCACTATACAAGGATGACATGCAAATTGGTAAAACATTCCATATTATAAACAATAAAGAAAATGTTTTAAAAGAAAAAAAATTTAGGACACAGTTATTAGAGAAAATGGACCGTAGAGATTTATATTAACACAAAATTGAATTTTATAGTTTAATGGACATTTATTAAATATTTAGTGTACATTGAATTTGGGAAGATCAGATAAGTAAAATGTAAAAATAATAGGAACTAAAAGGTTTGATCTTTGTTTTTGTTTTTTAAGACAAAGTCTTGCTTTCAAACCGGAGTGTAGTGGTGAGATCATAGCTCGCTGCCGCCTCCATCTCCCAGGCTCAACCCATCCTTCTGCCTCAGCCTCCTGAGTAGCAGGGCGTACAGGTGTGCATCACCACACCTGGCTAATTTTTTGAATTTTTTAGAGATGAGGTCTCACCGTGTTGTCCAGGCTGGTCTTGAACATCTGAGCTCATGCAGTCTTCCCGCTTTGGCCTCTCAAAGTGCTGGGATTATAGCCACGAGCCGGTACACCCAGCTGATATTTGAAAAGACAATAAAAATAAATAGTTGGCCTAATTGACATAAAGAAGATAGAAATAGAAAACATTGTTTTAAAGGGATGATATATATATGCTTATATTACCAACATATTTGAAATAGCTGACTACAAAAAATAACTACCCTGGCCGGGCGCCATGGCACATGCCTGTAATCCCAGCACTTTGGGAAGCTGAGGAGGGTGGATAACTTGAGACCAGAAGTTGGAGACCAGCTTGATCAACATGGTGAAACCTCATCTCTACTAAAAATAGAAAAATTGGCCGGGCACGGTGGCTCACGCCTGTAATCCCAGCACTTTGGGAGGCCAAGGCCGGTGGATCACGAGGTCAAGAGATCGAGACCATCCTGGTCAACATGGTGAAACCCCGTCTCTACTAAAAATACAAAAAATTAGCTGGGCATGGTGAAGTGTGCCTGTAATCCCAGCTACTCAGGAGGCTGAGGCAGGAGAATTGCCTGAACCCAGGAGGTGGAGGTTGCGGTGAGCCGAGATTGCGCCATTGCACTCCAGCCTGGGTAACAAGAGCGAAACTCCGTCTCAAAAAAAAAAAAAATAGAAAAATTAGCTGGCTATGGTGGCGCATGCCTGTAATCCCAGCTGCTTGGCTACTTGGGTGGGTAGCAGAGGCATGAGAATCATTTGAACCTGGGAAGCGGAGGTTGCAATGAACTGAGATCAAACCATTGCACTCCAGCCTGGGCAATGGAGGAAACACTGTCTCAAAAATACAAAAACAAAAAACTGCCCTTATGAAATTAATATAAAGGTACTGAAATAATTAGATGAAATAATAGTCTTTTTTTAAAAAAAGAAAGAAAGAAAAAGAAAAGACCTGACTCCCTAATGGGCTCACAGTAAAATTTTTTAAAGTTGAAGTACATTAACCTGTATATTACTTCGTTATTTTTTTAAACCTAGAACAAGGAATTGACTACTTAAGCGTATTTTATGGAGCAAATCGGTTATCATCCAAAAACCTAACTAAAAGGGAAGATGTTCATCAAATATTGCATATTAGTATTAGCACAAAATTACTAACAGAAGTTTTAGCCAACAATCTATTGAACCAAGGGATTGTGAGTCCTGGCTTTTTTTTCTTTTTGACTCTCCCATTAACAAGCACTGTGCCCTGCCCTTAAATAAATCATCTAGGCTTTGTTGGCCCTAAGGGTTTTGTTCGTTTTTGTCTCTTTTGTGTGTTGGATTTTTGTTTTAATCTACAATGATACTAGATACTCTTTTCTAGCCCCAAAATTATTTCTTTAGCAGGAAAACTGCATACTATTAAACAGAATTATACATGTGTCCAAATAGTATTTATCCCAGGATGCAAGTCAGTGTAACAAAGAAAAATTCATAAGCAGTAAGAAAAACTAATATAATTGAATTAGTAGTTGCTGAGAGGAGTGATTATCTAAATTACATTAAATACACTCTTAAACTGGAATAAGAAGCATTTTTTATTAAAAGTACACATTTATTAATTAACTGTTTACTTTTTGAAGAAATAAATGTATTTATGTGGTTCAGAATTCAGAGGCACGCTATGATCATACAGGTTGAATATCCCTTTGAAATTCTTGGGATCAGAAGTGTTTTGGATTTTGGACTTTTTCAGAGTTGGGGATATTTGCATTATACTTATTCTAAATCTGAAAGTCCAAAATCCAAAATGGCCGATGAGCATTGCCTTTGAGCATTGTGTCGGCACTCAGAAGTGTTGGATTTTGTAGTGTTTTGGATTTCAAATGTTCAACCTGTATAGTGAAAATTATCCTCCTTCGCCTTTCCCCCAGTCACCTAGTTTACTTTCCTGGAAGCAACCAATTTTAGTTTCAAAACCAAGAGCCAAGAACCAGAGCCAACGTTATCTCAAGGGTGAAATCTATAGGCATTTATGAATATTCTTGTTGAGGATTTTGTCCAGGTGTATTAGCTCATAGCTATAATCCTAACCCTTTGGGAGCCCAAGGCAGGGGGATCACTTGAGCTCAGTTCAAGACCAGCCTGGGAAACATAGTGAAACCTAATCTCTATAAAAAAAATCAAGTGGTGTGCCTCTGTGGTTCCAGCTTCTTAGGTGGCTAAAGCCTGGGCAACATAGTGAGACCTAGTCTCTATAAAAAATCAAATGGTGTGCCTTGTGGTCCCAGCTTCTCAGGTGGCTAAAGCAGGAGGACTGCTTGAGCCTGAGAGGTTGAGGTTTCAATGAACCACTTCACTCTAGCTTGAGTGACAGAGCGAGACTCTATCTCACACACACAAAAAAGGAGTATCTTGTATTGCTTACTCTAATTTTGACAAACGTGTAGTGAGTGATATAAAAAGAAATGAAGAAGTGACATAGTAAAGAAAGAGAGAGGTAAGTTATCACTATAAGGTGGCTAGATTATGGACATAGAAAATCTTTTTTTAAAAATTATAAGCAAGAAATGACATGAGCAAGATGACAGAATATGAGATAAATCCAACAAAATTTTCTATTTCTGAGTAAACAGAAAATTCATAGTTAAAGAAGTCTTGACCGGGCACGGTGGCTCACGCCTATAATCCCAGCACTTTGGGAGGCCAAGGCGGGTGGATCATGAGGTCAAGAGATCGAGACCATCCTGGTCAACAAGGTGAAACCCCGTCTCTACTAAAAATACAAAAAATTAGCTGGGCATGGTGGTGCGCGCCTGTAGTCCCAGCTACTCGGGAGGCTGAGGCAGGAGAATTGCTTGAACCCAGAAGGTGGAGGTTGCGGTGAGCCGAGATCATGCCATTGCACTCCAGCCTGGGTAACAACAGCAAAACTCCATCTCAAAAAAAAAAAAAATAAAGAAGTCTCATTTACAGTAGTGATAAAGAATAGTTAGTGCTTGGAAATTAACTTGGTATGGAACTTGGAACAAATGGAGCTACAAACTCTCTTGCCCTGTTGGGAAGAGTCAAGCAAAGATGACAGTAGTCTCAAAGATAGTGAGCAATACATCAAATGGAAAACCTAGTATAATTCCATCAGGAAATCTTATAGAACTCAGTAAAGGCAAAATTTATCGGGAAAATGAGTGTCCAAGAAATGCAAAAGTAGATTTCTAGGGAAAAAGGATAGTGTTGGGAGATTTGCTTTACTAGGTTTCAGAATATATCATAGTTACAAGTTGGGTGCAGTGGTTCACACCTGTAACCCCACTTTGGGAGGCCGAGGTAGGCGAATCATGAGGTCAGAAGTTCGACCAGCCTGGCCAAAATAGTGAAACCCTGTCTCTACTCAAATTACAAAAATTAGCTGGGCATGGTGGCATACACCTATAGTCCCAGCTACTTGGGAGGCTGAGACAGGAGAATCGCTTGAACCCGGGAGGTGAAGGCTGTGGTGAACCAAGATCACACCACTGCACTCCAGCCTGGGCAACAGAGTGAGACTTCACTTCAAAAATAATAATACCAATAGTAATAGTTACAGATGAATTGATTATCTGGAAAATCCAAATCGGTTGGAAACAATTGGAACTAATAGAGTACTGAAGTAAGGCGGCTGGATGCAAGTTTAACATATAGAAATTAGTAGTTTTCAGCCAAGCTCAGTGGCCCATGCCTGTAATCCCAGCTCTCTGGGAGGCCGAGGCTAAGGTGGGTGGATCACATGAGGTCAGGACTTTGAAACCAGCCTGGCCGACATGTCTCTACTAAACCCTGTCTCTACTAAAAAGAAACCTGGCGAAACCCTGTCTCTACTAAAAATACAAAAATTAGCCGGGCATGGTGGCGCAGGCCTGTGGTCCCAGCCACTTGGGAGGCTGAGACAGGAGAATCACTTGAACCTGGGAGGTGGAGCTGAGATTGCACCACTGCACTCCAACCTGGGTGATAGAGTAAGACTCTGTCTCCGGCTGCGTGAGATGGCTCATGCCTGTAATCCTAGCACTTTGGGAAGCCGAGGTGGGAGGATCACATGAGGTCAGGAGTTCAAGACCAGCCTGGCCATCATGGTGAAACCCCATCTTGAAGAAGAAAAAAAAAAAAGACTCTGTCTCCAAAAAAAAAAAAGTAGCTTTTGATCTGTGCCTCAATATTTTGGTTTTAAAAAAAAAGATATTAGTAACTTTCATTTAGCAATAATGAACTAAGGAATATAATATTAAAAGCAGCCCATTCACAATAGCAAAAAGTTTCATAAGATACCCACAAATGTAAAATATGTATAAGATCTATATGAAGAAGCCTTAAAATTCTGCTAAAAATATGAAAAAAAGAGCTATGTAAGTGAATATAACATACTCTTCCTCTTGAGAAAACAGTAAAAAGTATCAGTACTTCCAGATTATAAATTAGTGAAAACCCAATCAGAATCCTAGTAAGATTTTTTTTTAATTATGTTTTGTGTGTGTGAAATGTACATATAGAAAAATATACAAACATGCCTATAGAGGATAAAGATGCCAAAGAATGAACCCCCATGTACCCATCACCCAGAACATTCCAAGAACCTTAGAAGCTCCTCAAT